TGTACTTACGTTTTACATGGCAGCGGCCATGGTGGAATTCTAGGAACTGCCAAAATGGTTGGTCATTTAGGTCCACCGGGACCAAGATGACTGGAGCACTCCTGACCCCAGTGCTACTCACTTGTGAAGTGGGTTGCACTTCATCCCTCAAGCATGGACACTTATGTTATATCTAAAGGAAATGCAAGCCATTTGGGTGCTGGAGCATTCCAATGTGCTTGGCCAGGTTGTCCCTCTCCTTTTGGGGTGGGACTAGCATGTCACTGCTGGCCTGCTGCTACCACTGCCCGCCGGCATGCTTGTGCTGCTCTTGCTGGCCTCCTTGTATTCAAGCGTGGAAAACATCTCCGTTTAGGGCTGTGACTAGAGCTTTCCTGCCATTTCGTGAACCGTGACATTCCTGCCAGATGAATTACCTTGCAAGGCTCCTATCTAATTGTTAACAAAAAAGGCATGATAGGGCAGCGTTTTTCCAAATGTATTAAAATTTTCTCACACTGGAGCCATGAGATTTTAGAAACATGTAGGAAACTTCTAATCTTGTTTTTATTGGAATGCACGGCAGTCCCGCTACCATTGCAGCAAGTGCACTTCTATGTTTGGCCACTGTGCTCCTCAATTACATATTGAGGAGCACCCAAGATCCAGTGCTGGCAGTATTCAAGATGCAGTGCTAACATGATTTTCTTCCAAATTCTTACATAACCATCTCTGTTGAGTGCATCTTTAACACCCCAGGTATTGCAGTAAACACTTGCATTGCATCTTAAATTACCTAATTATGGATTGTTCTTTGCAGCCTCATCCGACCAACTGGAAACTGGAAATTTTAAAAACAATGCAGCAACTGGTGTACCTCCTGTTTTGCAGTTAGCATTGCTGAAGATTTGAGAATAGCTAAAATGCAAGAATTTTAATCTAAATGTGTAGGCAAGATCTTTTGAATGCCTAAATTTTGCCGCTGATCTTCAGATATTCATGGAATTTTGGCTCCAGGCATCTATGTCCAATTTCAGCTGTTACTATGGCTTTTTTTCAATTCCTGCACCCTAGAATATGGCTAATTTCAGCTTTTACTACAGCCTTTTCTGTATTTCTGTAGTGAAAAAAGGAGATTTACACTGCAATTTGTAGAAAATGAGTGTAAAGCAATCATTTTTGCCTACAATTTTTGGAAACTTCTGCCCAATATTACAAAATGGCTTTAGGTCTTTATAGTAATAATTGTAATACTAGGGCTCAATAGTCAATTTGAAAATGACAATTACAAATATTGAAATCAACTGTTAATGACGGGTGTTCTGGGTAGTAAGCTGGATTTTGATTTGAGGCATGGTTACACTAAAGAGATCTTCCGACCTCAGGCCTGTGTATTGGCTAGCTGCCACGCACCACACATTCAAATTAAAATCAATTTTTGGCATATGACAGTGGGGAAAAGGAGAGCCAGGTACCGGATTCAAGAAATTGGGACAAGATTTATAGTGTAGAGATTTGTAAAGTATACAGTGTGTAAAGTAGGAGATTAAATAAAAGAAATGGGGTATGATAGAGGAGGGAGAGGGAGAATATTTCAATATTAAGAGGTTATTTTGTTGGTTATTTCTAGGTCTCACTTATTGCATGTCAGTTTTAGACATTTGTCACACAAATATTGTTAGCTCTCAAAACACTAGATAATACTTTGTTCTTATTTATATTTTATGTTTATTAATACCATTATTTTGCTTTTTATTGCTTGTTTCTTTAGACCCTACCAGCATCCACTCTCCAGCTTCCGCCTGTCCCTCATTCTCCATGCAACTACAAAAAACGCTTATCACTATACCTCATGGGTAATGGCAGTGGTTACCCCTGGTGACAGGCTCACTATCATTTGCTATCAATTCATCTCTCATTCTCTCATACTTCACGCCATCGCCCTAGCACCTCTCATCCAGCATCACTCCTTGTTCACGTTTTTAAGTATGTCTTGTGTGTACTTATTATCTTGTATGGGATACTTACTTGAACATGTACTTAAAGTAGATATCTGAGCAATTTCTCTTAAACATATTAATTTGAAAAAGTTACTGTAATTATCATAAATAATATAATTGTAGGTTGCTTGAACTCAGACTACTGTACCACAGTTATCTCAGTATTTTTGCAGCAATTAAAATGAAAATAGCCAGCAAGAATTAATAATCATGCACGTAATTTAAGGCCAATATTTATTTAACTTTATTTGAACATTACACTTAAAATTTGTAGGCTGTTAAAATCCGTTGGGGTTTGGGGAACTATAATTACAAACTAGATCACTCCACATTTTCTGTCGAATAAAAGGAATGAGTTAAACATGCACATCATTTCTCATAATCACATTTTACTTTCAAACAATATTAACAAATTTGCATTTACAGATGAACTCGTCCTTAAAGTCAGCACCCCTCCAAACTTCATGACTCCTTACTGGTCCACAATTGCAAGTGGCACCTGCAATCGCAAGAGCGACATGGATTTCCAAGACAACTTAACATCTAGCAATGTGTTTTTTATTAATTGTTTATTTTATTGATGCACTCATGTACATTGCTTGAAGTGCTAAATTAAAGCAAGTAACGTCTGTTTAAAACTTAACATTATACAATGCGCAACTATCCCGTCTAAGTCATTGAATTCTTGTCACCATCAATTAATGTATCTTTTTAAAATGCAGCACGATGCAATTCATGTTACTTGCAACATTCGGTATTAGAGTGCCATTTGTCTATGCTGTTAAGAGCTCCTTATATCATGTCACTGTAGAAACGTATAGTTATTACTAGCTCGTATCTGCAAAATACATTGTCCACATATGTGAGCATTACATTCAATATTCATGGCATCGTTAAGCAACGCCCGCCGTCACATATCTTTCATTCTTAACATTAAAAAAAATAAACTTCCCTCTTTTTCATCATTTAAATATTTTCTTCAATTTAGACGATTATTGAAAACCAATGACATAATAATATAGGTATCCTCTAAGCATCACTTTGAATTTGAAGTACACCTTATTATTGAAATGATATCTTCAAGAACTGTTTTTTCGCTGCATATGAGCCTACTTATAATTGCCTGATTAATATGAAATAAAAATGGAAATAATTTACTTTGTATCTAGATCAATATTGTTGTCCACAGTATTCCAACTAACTTATTATTTTAGCCTGCTTGCTGTAACTCTTTATAACTAAAAAATATACATCTGTCAACAATGCCTAAATCCTGCCATTTGAGAAGCGAGGCTCATTGCACATCAGATGTTTCTTGTTCGGAATTTAACTGCGTTTCTAAAAGGTGACCTCATTATCACATGGTACCAATATACTTTGTCCTGTATGGAACTGTATCAAAAATTTCACATATCCATCATCGTGACTCTAAATAAAATGAATATTCAATTAAATTAGAATATTCAATATAACCATAGTGGATTGAGACATGATTACTTGATTCGGTCAACATTTTGGATAAATATACACAGATGTCACATCACTATGTGCGTCTAATATCGATGATACGAAAACCCCCTTGCTATAGAACTGCTAGTACATGAAACTTAGAATTAATATTCCACGATTATTGATACTATAATGGCAGTAGATAGAACAATTAATCATAATATATAAACCTGTTTAAATTTATGTACAACAAATTACAATCAATATGATTTTCATAAATTAATTATCTTTTACATTACATTTTTTAAAAATTGATGAAAACAAATCGTTATTTTAATTCGCTGCTTATCACACATTCGTCATAAAAACGCGCTTCTCATTCAAACGAAAGTCTATGAAACACTTCTGTTCAACTTCACTTCTTGTTTGCTTCTCTGTCTGCTACAAATCTTATAATCGATATTTATTAAACTTATACCTCTGCAATCGATGTGAAATTTTGTACACTTGCGTGCAATATTTTCGGCAATATGCATTACTCAATTTACAGCATAAATAATTGAAAAATTAATATTTTTTGGTAACTATGTAAAAATTTTAATTCATTTTTTAACATATTTATTTGTAAAGTAACATATTCATTGAACATGTGCAACATTGGTCTCTTTAAAAGTGTTGTCTTTGAAAAATAATTTTTAAACGTATATTATACTTCTTGTTGTTTGTTTTTCTGCTAAAAATATTAAATTTTTACATTTTTCTTAATTATTTAAAAACAAAATTATAAATACCTTTCAATCTTAATTTTGTAGTTTTCTGTGAATTTCACATTTCTGTCCATTATTCTTTATCCATAAAATTAAACGAACAAAAAAGTATTGGATTGCTTTTTTACATGTGTCTATCAAGTTTCAAAATGATCCCTCCGTACGTAATTACATTCTTTTTACCGAAATACCACGCCTAAATATTTATTTGAATAACTTATATATTTTCTTGTTGTATACCGTTAGAGTACCATCATACTTATTATAAAAATACGCTTTGATGTGCGTTTACACTATTTACCTTCCCATCGCTTCACTGGCATCTACACTCCAAACGAGCCAGGTCAGCAGCTATTAAGCGGGTCCGTCTTGAGTCATTAAAAATTGCTCTCGCAAGATGCAGCTGTTTATTTCAAAACATTATACACTTGAGTTGGACCTTGCCTCGGGATAGCATATCAGTATTGGTAAGGCACAGCTCGTCTACGGGTGTGCATTCGCTTGATTCTAGTGCTAAATATGTACGTTTTCTTAGATAAAGTAAATAATTTTCCTATCGATTTAACCTTACACATGAAACATGTCAGGCAACGACAGTGATATCTATGTGCTATCAACGACATCTAAGTGCTCGTAATTAAAAATATCTTTTGTTAAATATTGCATTGTTGACATCGTCATAGACTAAAATTTTTTAATTTAATTTACAAAAATGTCTACTATAACTTTAGGAAAAATATTACTGTGCCTTGCACAAATGGAAGATAAAACGTGCACCACAGAAACTGAAGTGATTATTAAAATTATGGGAGAACTGAATGTGCGACACAAAGACTTGAATAAAGTTAGAGTTAAGATTCATCGGTTAAAGAAGACATCGCCCCTGTTAGTTGGCGCACTCGACCGCGTTTTGGGAAAGGTGAGTTCTCAACTTTTTAATTGTTATGATTAACGATACTTTATTTTTTATTATGGGTCAGGCATTGATTTTTTTGGGAAAATTTATAATACTAATTTTTCGGCCAAAGATAGAGCTGAATTGGAAAACTTGTAGTAATTACCACAAAAATCAATGCGTGCCTCCAATCTTACATGGATTCAAGTGTCGGCAAAAATTATAGTTAATCAAACAGACAGCTTTTGCACATCACTGATTTCTTAGATATGATGCGTTAAGCAAATAATATGCGTTTAAAAATTACTTTTTAAAGACAATACTCCTAAGTAATCCTGTGCCTCCGATGCTACACATTTAATATAAATTTCTAATTTTATTTTCAAATGTTAGAGAAATAATTTTTTAATTACTTTAATATAAAAAAAAATTAAGTTAACATTTCTTTATTCTGTCAATTGATTATTGCATTGTCTCCGACTTTCCACAAGTGTGCAAAATGTCAAATCGATTTGACAGGTAGAAGGGTGTTAAATATTGATAATTAAATTTGTAGCAGACAACCAAACCAGAAGGGAAGTTGAAGAGAAGTGTTATAAAATTAATAATGACAGATAAATAGTGGGTGGCAATATTTGTCAACATATATGCATTCATCTATATGATCTTCATGTAATTCTATTATAAGTATATAATTAACATGTATTGCAGACAAAAATTGCATGGAACATAGTATTTCATCTAAAAATTTGCAGGATGACATTCATATTGCTATTGCAAGCAAATATATTTTCCGGATGGCTGATCTATTATATTTGATATACGTCATTTGACAAGTATGTCCTAAAATTGACGAAAATTTATGCATCTCTCGACATTGCTAGCACGACCTTCTTCAACTGGCATGCATTGATTGCATCTTGAGTGCTTGAGTTAAAACGTACTCAATTATGATTGATCTGCTAGTAGCAAGTGTGTATAACGTTTGTTTTATATTCGACTAGCACCCTAGCCATTGCAAGATTTTTCTTAAAATACCGACCTCTAATGCGCTATGAATAACACCTTTTTGGTCGCCGGTCAGGCGCAATATCATTATTCGTTAAAACGTTGCATTTGAAATACTTTCATTGCAGAACAGGACTACAACGTTATACTAAATCTTCATTAAACCTACATAAAATTAGCAGAAAAACATTTTTTTGGGTAAAATGTACTTCACTGGCACTTCCTTATATTAGGCACTATATATATAATATACTTCCTTCAATATTAGGCGCTTTTCAAAATGAAGTTTAGTATTTGCTGATTGTCATTGTTATATGTTTTCCTAAATAAAGTCATGACGATATATTGAAAGAATTTGCTTAATAAAAGTTCATAAATAACATAACCGTACTGGTCACTAGTACCCGAAAAAATAAGAAATTATCGGTTGACTGAAATGAGCAACGTTAGCTTCAAGCAAGGGCCAGGCCATGTTATTGCTGAAATCGCTGACACCAAATCAGTAATGTAAGCAAACGATGACGAACGTATTTCGCGCTCGGTTTGTGACAACAGTCACAGCAAGCGCGTTACTTTAATTAAATGCGACATTAACGTTGACTAAAGCAGTTTATCAAATTAATTAATATAAAATGAGACGGTAGAGATTCTTTTAAAACATTTTTATAAGCGTGTATGGTTTAAAACGAAATTATCGCAGAATGTTGTACAGTTTATGTGATTTTGAGCATTTATGTAGACATTAAATGTAAGTGCATTAAATATTTCATAAGATTTCAGTTAAAAAATTTAATTTAGCAATTAATTTAACTTTAATGCCCAGTTCAAATGGTAATTCAACTCGAAAGCGATTTTTTATGAATCAGATAGATGTCATATACGAATTAACAATCATTTTAAATAATTTATTCAATGTTAGACGTTCAGATGTCATATTTTAAATTGTTGTAATTGAAAACTTTACACTGTAAATAGATAAGGGCTTTGTTCTTTATGCAGTGAGACATGTGTTTTTATTAATTTTATATGAAATTTATGATATATTAACTTCTACTGATAACCTAATGATGTCAAGAAATTAGGACGTGCATTTAATAACATCATAAAATTTTTAATTTGATGGAATTACAAATGGACCCTAACTGAGAACAACTGTAGCTGTCCAATGTCGCAAAGAGAGCTATTTACTCGCAATGAACAATAATGTACATACTCGCAATTAACAAGTTTCGCAATGAACGACAGTAATGTGATAGAAAAATAAATGAAAATTTTGTCATTTATATGATTTCCACAAATAACATGAATTATGTGTTAGGGTGCTTGCGATGCGGATGATATTTTTATAATCCGTGAGCTTGGTTGAATCCTGCAGGTGCTGTAAATTTATAGAAGCTATTGGAGCGTGTAATTGACTAACAAAACTTATCGTCTCTAGATATAATCTGAATCTGAACTATACTTTCCTAACGGGAAATATTGCTTCAATAAATGAGGAGATTTCGGTTGAATTAAAAAATTATATTTTTGTGGTTATTGGTTTTCAACGTTAATGATAAAGCATATACTATTTCTTTAACATTCACAATATGAAATATATGGTTTCCGATAGTTCTGCGCTTAGGTGGGTCTCTATTTCATGAAGATAGATTACTTTATTGATAAATAACATGATTTGTAATGGCATGAGATAAAAATTTAACGGTTTATTTGTTCTTCACAGAAGCATGGTTACGCTCCGAGCAACTTATTCAAACTAATTCAATTTCTTTACTTAATTTAATCAAAATATAATGAATAGAATAGAAGTGCCGGCACTGAAGGAATAGGCCCATGCATGGCATGTCGCAGTTTATTGTACTTCTCGTGACTTGATTCACAAGGGATCCGGCTTTTTGAACCCGATGTCTCTATAACAAACGATTGATTGAGATAGCTGCTGAACTTATTGAAAGGCTCGTAAGGGACTAGGCATTTGCATACTGAACTAATTATAAGTATGATATACAGTACTTCCAATTTACACCCTTCAAAACCTTCCAGTCTCTTTATTTTCACATTCGTCATCCACCAATGCGAAATTATTTCAACAGACGCCAATAAAAGAACTCATCCCGGCAAAAATCGAGGAACTACCATTTGGAGCTGTGCCGCTAACTGAATATCATCACAACCAGTTTAAGAACGATGCTGGACAAGTGCACTGTGAGGTAAGAGTCATCCAACATCATGTTTTTTTTTGTCCATTACGTTGCTAAATTTATTTTGTAACCTAATAATGTTCCGCTTGGAAAATTTTATTTTCATTCTTTAAAATATTATTATATATGTCTATTTTTTAAAATCGTGGAAACTTTCGATAATTTTGCCTTCACAAAATGCAGAATCTGGTTCAAAACCAGCGTCTGTGGAGTATATACCAACATTCGTAAGAATAAATTGTTAAACAATGCAAAACGTGCTATAATAGATGGCATTTTCATTTTGATAACCGGATACTACTGAAATATAGCACAATATGTACTAAAAATCATAGCATAGTTGTCCTCTATTCAAGATGAAAAAATTGTTTGGTGGTCCCCTCAATTTAGAAATGCGTCTGTGCAACATGTTTTTTTCGTTAGTAATTGTACTCATTATTTCGTGGTAGTGAAATAATATGTATTAATGTAAATATTAATAAATAATACTACATTATTATTTATATTTGTAATTCACATAAGTGCAAGGTTTGGAATAAGGGAATTTTATTAATGGTACGGGCTCTCACAGATAATGGCACAATTCCTGAGTTACTTAGGTAATTTTAAATTATGTTGCAGGAACTTGCAGATGAAACAGAAGAGCATCAAGCGACTGACGAGTCAATGGAAACGGAAGTAAGTAACGATAATACCAGTGGCCTCATAAATTATAATCCATCTCTATCTTCCAAACTCGATGACCAAGAAGCCATTCACAATGACTCTCGTTATAATGACGAACAAAATTTGGAAGAAAATAAAAAGTATACCGAAATTAATGAAGAAGTCAACACTCAGAATGAAGAAAACAGTATCAAGCACATCTCAGACACAACGAAAGATAAAGACGCGGACAGGAGCGAATTGAGGACCAGTCCCCGTCAGAATTGCGGTAGTCGTACAAATTTTATCCCATTTGCTTCAGGCTGCACAGAAGAAAACATAGAAAAAAATCTTGCCAATGACAACCTCAACGAATCCGAGAAACCGAGCCTCGTGACAACTGTCGTCAAACTCTTGGACTTGGCTTCCGACTTAACAGAAGAAAACATAGAAAAAAATCGTGCCAATCAAAACCTCAACGAATCCCAGACACCGAGCATCACGACAACTGTCGTGAAACTCTTAGACTTGGCTTCCGACTTAGTTAATAACGTAAAAGATTTCAACATTTTTGGAGCCGTAGAAAATGTGGTAGCGCTTAAAGATGTAGGCCTAGATCTCTTTCCTGGTACTAACAGTAATACTGATGCCTATTCAAATGACGATGTCAATTTGCAAAACAGTAACCCCCCTGAGTCAAACGGGGATGGCTTCACGGGAGTGTTTAATAGTTCTATGTTCGTCCCTAAAGAAGATTGGAAATGTGAGGAAGTATCGAGTGAAGATGAATGCTTTATTGACGCGTCGCAAAGCGACGTTGAAAATTCTTTCGCTTCACAGATGGAGCTCGAACATAGCTATGAGATGGACGACAGAAATGGTGCTCGGTCAATGACCAATGAAAATTACAATGATGACAGAAGCACGCGATCCGACAAATGTAGCGGTGCACTTGGAGGTTATGACGATTACGAAGAGGACACCGTACAGAGAACGGAAAGCAACAAAAATGAAGGTGCATTTCCGAAATCTCATAAACAATCTGGTCCAAGTAACGTTTACAAACAAGAAGGAACTCCCAAAAATAGCGAATGTGAAAAGGAATGCCTTGATTTTCTGGATCAGAAATGTTACGAAAATTATCAAAGGCCAATACGAATCGACTACATTCTGGAAGAGAACGAAAAATTTGTCAATGTTTTTGAAAGTGGTTCTGAGGAGCACTCGCGTCTACTGCGTTCGTTAAAAGAACAAGAACCGCAATGTCAGATTAAATTTGAAACATTTAGGAAAAAGCAATTGCAGTTCTTACAAAACATAGCCAGATGTCCGAGCTACTCTTTCTTCATGAAGTGCAAAAACTGTCCATTGTCCAAGAAATGCATCAGTTTTGAAACTATTCAAGAAACTGACAAACAGGTAGCCACTTTTGTTTTATTTGAGATACACGCCAGTACTATACCGCATCCTATAAGCGAAAGGAAAGTAAAAGAGATGAAGCGTATAGTCATCGCGAAGACTGCCTGCCGAGAAGGCACATCAACTGCATATTTAGAGCAATTTGAAAATCGCATCCCAACTAAAATATTAAAGTTGCCGAACGTTCAGAAAATAAAAGAACGTTACAAACGAAAATATATCATGGATCCAGACCAGAAAAGCGATCTTCAAAAAACGAAAGACGATCTGTCTAATAGTGACGCGGACAGCAAGGTTTTGAAAGGTTTTGTACGACGTTTCGAAACTGAGGATGACAATAACACTATCATTCTACAAGGTGAAGGAGAAGTTTGTGAACTCGGAAAAATAAAAAACCTTGTACTAAATCTCGACAGCACAGGATCAGTCATTTCGAAAGGAAAATCAACTAAACCATTCATGTATCATGCGTGCGTCTTTCGACCGGGAGATGGAAATCCCCCGTTGCCAGCGATATCGATGTTAGCTCAAGACAACTCCGCAAGCACGATCAGCGATATGTTGTCCATGCTATGCAAAAACTTCAAGAAAGTGCATCGCCGTGATTTGCGTATCAGAGCAATTGTGACAGATCAAAGTTACGCGAATATTAATGCCATTTTAGACGCGCTGCACCTAGGACCTTTGGACAAGTACATTGATGAATTATGGTTGAAATCAAGCCACGAACTTAATGAAAAAACTATCATAAAATTGTGCTACTCTCACGTAATGCACAACGCTTCGGCACAAGTGAAGAAACACTTTCCCTTTCTACGAGCAAAGGTTACCAAACCAATTAAGGTCTTTTTTGCCAGGATGGCTCTAGCGGAAACGTCGCACGAATTATGTGCTTCTTTCCGTAACATTGCAACACTTCTATTGAGCAAGTATTCCGACAACAGTGTGGAACAACTTATTAACTCTATTGAAAATGAAACAGAAACTGAAAGTGACACAGACTTTAGCGTCGCCTACGATCTGGATCTTCCCGGGAAAACTTTACGCGCGACTACCGAGGTGGGTAAAATGTTTTCCCAAATATCTACGGAAGTAGAGGCTTCAGCTGCTATACAGGGGGTTAAGAAGAATCCCCTGTATTCGCCCAAATTAAATGAATATCTTCTGACATTCACTATGCCATTTGCTCCTCTGTGGTCCAGCTTGCACGTGCCAGTGCAGACAAATACACTTGTAGAGTGCTGGCACAAAATCATGAAATATGACATCATGCGCGGAGAGAGAAAGACACCCAGAGAATTTGTGACCAAAATGTATCGTTCAACGAAGCAACGGGTGAATGAAGCCAGGTCTGGAGTCCGACAAGAAAGCAAGCGACCGCTTGACACTGAGTTTGAAGAAAAATGGTGTAAACATAAACGACCTTGCAAAAAAGTAAGGTCACACACTGACATGGCGCGTCAGATGGTTGTCCGAGAAAAAGAAAAAGTTCTTAGAAGAGAAGAGGAGAAGATCGCAATTGAAATTGAGGGACATTCTACAGAAGAAGCAGAGGTGGAGATCTCTACAATTACATGCGCAGAAGACCTTGCAAACAACCCTGATATCGTTTTTTATGGCGAAACTTCTGAAAAAGCGTTGAATTCCAGAGGTGAAGAACAATCCTTCGAAGAAACATCAAATCCTGTGCTAATATCAAGCAATACCGAAAGGGGTGTTTGCAATAAAAATTCTTCAACTCTGACGAAGAAGCAAAATAATAAGGCCAAGGGACCACTATTACGACGCCTAAAATTTGAAGTTAAAAAATTAACTAAAACATCAAAGAAATCGTCAGTCTCAGACGATATGAACGCCCCTTCAAACACAGAGAAGGAAATGAAGCCTGACCAACAATTTGAAGAAGAGAAGCAGTCCACAGAAGAAGAAAATTTATCTCATCACATAGGCCCATACGTTCCTGATGATCACGATTTCAAAAGTCTGGAACCCAGGTCGTGGATCAACGATAACATCGTTGATGCGTTCATTTGCTCACGAGTGTCGCTCTTTCAAGAAAATGCGTCTTCAGAACAAGCCAGCATGTTTCATATGGACACTAAAATTGTAGAAAGCCTGAAGAAACATGGCATCACTGACCGAATCTTAGCCTACGGCCTTAGAGAAAAACTTTTAGAAAAAGACGTGATAATATGTCCTGTGAACATTCAAGGAAACCACTGGATTTTGTGCTTACTTTGCCCAAATCTTGAACTAATAGTATGCCTGGACAGCACTCATCAAGAAAATAGGCCGATCTTTGAAATGTTGTCACAGTTTTTGGGAGCACTCAAGTGGATACAACCAAAGGAATTAAAAAAATTCGAATGGAACTTCAATGCACCTCTGGACATCGAGCGTCAGAAGAACGGTTTTGATTGTGGAGTGTACGTCTGCTTATGGGCAGAAAAAGTATGTGGAATCGATGTAACTCTAAAATCTTCTGGTGAAAAAAGAAAATATATTTTGAATGAGTGTAAAAAAAACTACAAAGTTAAACAATCATGCGACGTTATTACGAAACAAATTTGGGATGTACCGAAATGGTCTGAAAATATTTCTATCTCAACCGAAGTTCCACTAGGATTGTCATCCACTGCTGATTTCATGGCGGAAATAAGGTACAAAAGATTTGTGGGGAGATTCAAAGAAAATATATAACTTATTCAAATATATATAAAATCGGAGTATTTCGGTAAAAACAATGTAATTACGTTCGGACGGATCATTTTGATACTTGATAGACACATGTAAAATCGCAATCCAATACTTTTTTGTTCGTTTAATTTTATGGAAAAAAAATAATGGACAGAAATGTGAAATTCACAGAAAACTACACAATTACGATTACAACGTATTTACTATTTAGTTTTTAAATAATTAAGAAAAATGGTAAAATTTAATATTTTTAGCAGACAAACAAACAACAAGAAGTATAATATACGTTTAAAAATTATTTTTCAAAGACAACACTCTTAAAGAGACCAATGTTGCACATGTTCACTGAATATCTTACTTTAAAAATAAATATGTTAAAAAATGAATTTACATTTTTAAATATTTACCAAAAAATATTAATTTTGCAATTATTTATGTTGTAAATTGAATCATGCATATTGCCGAAAATATTGCACGCAAGTGTGCCAAATTTCAGATCGATTGGAGAGAAAGAAGTGTGTTAAATATCCAATATAAGATTTGTAGCAGACAGAGAAGCAAACAAGAAGTGAAGTTGAACAGAAGTGTTGCATTGATTTTAGTTTGAATGAGAAGCGCGTTTTTATGACGAATGTGTGATAAGCAGCGAATTAAAGTAACGATTCGTTTTCATCAATATTTAATAAATGTACTAATGTCAAAGAAAACTAATTTATGAAAATCATAGTGATTGTAAATTGTTGTACATAAATTTAAACAGGTTTATATATTATGATTAATTATTCTATCTACTGCCATTATAGTATCAATAATCGTGGAATATTAATTCTAAGTTTCATGTACTAGCAGTTCTATACCAAGGGGGTTTTCGTATCATCGATATTAGACGCACATAGTGATGTGCTCGTGTGCAATGAGCCTCGCTTCTCAAATGGCAGGATTTAGGCATTGTTGATCGATGAGCAATATTTTTTATTTATGAAAGAGTTACAGCAAGCAGGCCCAAAAATAAGTTAGTTACAATAGTGCGTAGGTACAACATTGTCATTAGTAAGGCAGTTATAAGTAAGCTCATATAAAGTGAAAAAAACACTGTTTTAATGTATCATTTCAATAAGAAGGTCGAATTAACATTCATAGTAATGGTTCGAGGTTATAGTGTTATGTCATTGGTTTCTAATGCTTGTGTACAGTGAAATAAATATTTAGATGATGAATCCGGTTGGAATTCTGTTTAAAAAAAATTTTCATAATCTGACGGTGGGCGTTGCTTAACGATTCCATGATATGAAATCGGAAAAATCTAATGCTCTCATAGGTGGACAATGTATTTTGCAGATACGAGCTAGTAATAACTATACGTTTCTACAGTAACATGATATAAGGAGCTCTTAACAACATAAATATAGACACTCTAATAACCAATGTTGTAGGTTACATCAATTGCATCGTGCTGCATGTTAAAATGATGAATGAAATGATGGTGACAAGAATACAATGACTAAGAAGGNGCTTTAATTTTGCACTTCAACCTCTGATTATGAGTACATTAATAACGAACAATTAATAGTTATTGAAATAACGGTTTAAATGTTTCTATTTGTCTATGCATTTTAGGGAAAAAATTTCGTCATAATTAAGCAAAGTTTAAGGTCAACTATCAAATATTGAATTTAACAGATGTGTTTAATTTCTTATTGCCAGGAATCAATTTTTTTTTTGGCAGTGTAAATATAATTTCAATTCCATCAACATGTTTAAATATTTGAATGATAAAAACTTAATGATAGATAATGTTAAGTTGTCTTAGAAATCCATGTTGCTCTTGCGTTTGTTGCGCTTGCGTTGCGCCACTCGCCACTGTGGACCACTAGAGAGGCATCAAGTTTGGAGGGGTGCTAACTTGAATGAGGAGTTCATCTGAAAAAAATTATCATTTCTAAAAATTACAGTGTAAATCTCCTTTTTCACTACAGAAATACAGAAAAGGCCATAGTAACAGCTGAAATTGGCCATATTCTAGGGTGCAGGAATTGAAAAAAGGCCATAGCAACAGCTGAAATTGGACATAGATGCCTGGAGCCGAAATTCCATGAATATCTGAAGATCAGCGGCAAAATTTAGGCCTTCAAAAGATCTTGCCTACATATTTAGATTAAATTTCTTGCATTTTAGCTATTCTCAAATCTTCAACAATGCTAACTGCAAAACAGGAGGTACACCAGTTGCTGCATTGTTTTTAAAATTTCCAGTTTCCAATTGGTTGGATGAGGCTGCAAAGCACAATCCACAATTAGGTAATTTCAGATGCAATGCAAGTGTTTACTGCAATACCAGGGGTGTTAAAGATGCACTCATCAGAGATGGTTATGTAAGAAAATTTTTGGAAGAAAATCATGTTAGCAATGCATCTTGAAGACTGCCAGCACCGGATCTTGGGTGCTGTTGACATCACAGGGTGGA